TCTTTTAAGAATCAGAGGATTTTTTAAATATATTTTTAAAGGACCTTTCGGGTTTTCAATAAATATTGTTTAAAGGAGCAGCATAGGTACGCCGATTCATTCTCTAAGGAATACTTTCGCAATTACCTTTAGAAAAGTATATTTTTAGGGACTATCAGGATCGTTTAAAGGACTTTTTAAGGACCAACAATATTTTTTGAACACCATCGAAGTATACCGTTGATTTTTTAAGGAGATTTAAAAAAATGGTAATTTTTTTCAGAATTCTCATATAATATTTTTTAAGGGAATCATCAGGATTTTAATAATTTTTTTTTTCAAGAACGGTGGGTTTGATTTTTTAAAGAACATTCCTGCCAGGGACTATCAGGACTTAAAAAAAAAACATTTTCAAGAACCATTGAAACTTGTAAAGATTATTTTTTAACGGATCATGAGGATTTTTTTATCAATATTTCCCATTTGGCCTCAGAGCTATTCCGTGGATTTTGGAAAAAAAAAATATGGAATTTTTTCAAGGACCAACACTTTTCCATCATGGTTTAAAAAAAAATTCCTATCAGATTTTTTTAAGAAGGATCATCATATCTGTGCCTTGATGTTTTTAAGAATACTTTTCAGGGACCATCAGAGAGATATCATAGATTTCTAATGCTGGAGATTTCAATATAATAACTTTCAGAAGTCAACAATTTTTTGAAAATAATTTAAAGGACCTACCATATTTTTGGTACGCCATTGATTTTTTAAGGAATATTGTGTGAATGACCTTCATAAACTATCAGGAATTTTAAATCATATTTTCGATTTACCAAAAAAAAAAAAATTAAATAAATAAAAAAAAATTAAGGGTTCTTCAGGACCTGTTAAAGAAACATCCACATATTAATGGAACATCCGAATTTTTTAAACACAACCAAAACTTACCATTAATTTTTCCGTCCGAATTCTCAAAGTATTTTTTTCCTGCATCATCGGGATTTTATTAATATTTTTCTCAAGAACACCATCACAACTTTTTAAAGAGTAATTTATCAAGGACTATCAGTATTTTTTAAAGAAAGGATTTCAAGAACCATCAAGACTTGTAAAGAATATTTTTTAAAGGATCATAAAGACTATTAAGCATTAATATTTCTAATAGTGCCTCAGAGCTATTCCAAGATTTTTAAATAATATTTTTTATGGAATTTTGTCAAGGACAATCAGTTCTGCGGTGGGGTTTATTTAAGAATTTTTTTCTAAGAACTTACAGGATTTTTTTAAAGAAAGAATTTTCAAGGTTTATCAAAGCTATTACTTGATTTTTTAAATAATACTTTTCAGGGACCATTACAGCTAGTTTGGGAATTTTTAAGAAATTTTTTTTCTGGTACCCTCAGAATTTTTTAAAAAATATTTTTATACCCTCAGTGATATGGGTATAGATAAAATAATGGTTTTAGAACCTAGAACCTTTCAAAATCGGCACACAAATAAATATTTCTGTCAGCACAAAATCTGATCTGGTGCCTCCAGAAAAAGAATCCTTAAAGTTAATGCTGAAATTATTTTTCAAACTGAGATCATAGAAAATATTCCTTTAAACTTCTTAGCTTTAAAAGTTCTACAGAAAAAAATCAAAAATATTTGTTCAATAGAAAATGACAAAAAATCACAGACGAAATTATTATTTATTATCCTTTTGGGACCCCACATCAAACATAAATTTTCATCCGACCTCCCCCTTGGAGACTGATGCGACAACTAACAATCAAAAAAATAATTGTTAAAATCATCAAAATTCTCCACCATTCACCATTTCATTTCATAAGCGGTTAATCACTTTTTTTCGTTCCGAACCACAACTCTATACAAAGCAAAGAAGATGACCGTAAAAAAGTAATTTTCTTTTCTTTCATATTTTTTTGCAATTTTGTTATTATTTCTTGGTTACAAAAAATGAAATTGTATCACTTTACCCCCCAAACCAATTTCATCCATTGAGAGTTGGCGAAAAAGGTCAAGAGTTGGATTTTGTTTTGGCCGATTTGTCAAGGGATTTCACTCGGTGTCAATGTATTGATGAAAATGTCTCTCTCTTGGATGATTTAATTATTGAAGCGTAACGAAATGAATGATGAAAAAGTTTGTTTTGGAATGCAATCAAAGGGAAGTGGTTTTTAAAGTAAATTTAAGGGTTGTTGTTATTATAGCACAGAGCGAGTGTTAAAAAAAATCCTAAAAACATACATTGAATGAAAAATCTGCTTATTTTTTTTTTTTTTTTTTTTTTTTTTTTTTTGAAAACTTACATTTTATGGAAGAACTGAGAAGATTTTCTATGCTCTATAACAGATGAGTGTTCCTTCAGAAATATGACCTAACAAAATTCTTTTTAAATATTTAACAACAATCCTGAAAAAAATTACAGGTTTTTTGGTAGATATAAAATAGTCAGAGACTAATACATTTTCTCTCTAATCAATTTGTACATTTGAAATTTATAAAAGTTTAAAAAAGTAGAAACCACGTGTATCGGCATTTTTTAAGTTTACATCGCAAAGTACCAATCATAGTGGGGACACGTTCTCTCTCTCTCTTTCACGCTTTTGTAAATTAGAGATTAAGATTTTTAGGAATTCGTTCATTTATACATAGTATATACCTAAAATACACGAATTCCGAGGAATCTTTATCCAAAAATGTCCAAAGGTGTGAAAGAGAGGGGGAACTTGCCCTCTTTATTTTGTCTACTTTGCGGAGCAAGCTTTCAAACGCCGATACACGTGTCTTCTCTCTTAGTCCCACTTTCAAAATCTGTTGGATTTTGTGTTCAGTATTATATTTTGGCAGGAACCAGAGTCTCCGACATTGGCTTCGGCTGTAGCAGCTAGATTCCGAAGCATCGGGATGTTAATTTTTTTAACAAACCTGAAAAAAAATATATTTTAGCCACCACTTGAAACAACCCACCTAAGGCAAAAAATTCGACCAAATCCATTTCAACACGTTTGGAGTCGATCTAGCGATGTCTCGAAAAGGGTATCTGATTTGGTCCAAAATTGGTACATCGCATATTATCAAACTTAGATTGAGTCTGGAGTTGGGCCCTTCTGGTACCTCACCCACAAAAGGTCGAAATATTCAAAGAAAATAATTGACTGCACAGAAAAGAAGATGATAATCCGATATTGCTCCAAATGTTAATGGAAAATGTCGGTCCACTCCATCAACTACCTCCCACACAAAGGGTCAGAATTTTGAATAATTTCAACTCTCATAAATTGTGATGTAAGATTCCGATTGTCTTCAAATTTCACACATCCCAATATTTATATTAACCCAAGGTCAGGTGTTGAGATGGAATATCTAGGTCTACTACTTCTAGTACCTCTCCCACACAAGGTCGAAATTTTCAAAAAAAAAAATATTTTTTTTCTGCCCAGAAAGAGAAGCGATAATCCGGGTTTACTCTAACTTTGTAAATCCTAATATTTGCATCAGTTCTATGTCAGGTGCAAAAATGAATAATATCGGTCCGCTCCATCAAGTACCTCCCCCACAAAGGGTAAAAATTTTGAATAATTATAAGTCTTATAAAATGTCATGTAAGAATCCGACTCTCTTAAAATTTCACACATCCAAATATTCTCATAAATCCAAGACCTGGTGTTAAGATGGAATATATCGGTCCACTCCTTCTGGTGCCTCCCCCACAAAAGGTTGAAATTTTGAATATCCATTAAGCTCATAAAACGCGAAATTAACATCGGATTCCATTTAGACTCGGCACATCTGAATATTTTTATCAACACAGGATCTGTTAAAAAAGGTAGATATCCGATCATTCCTCCTGCTACCTCTCCCACAAAGGGTCAATGTCTTGAATAATCAAAGCGATTGTAAAATCCGAAATAATCATCTGATTCTCTTCATATTTCAAACATCCCATTTTTTCTAGTAACAAAAGATCTGCTGTCAAGATGGAATATATCGGTCCTTTTCTTCTGGAACCGCCCACCCCCCAATGAGTAAACATTTTTAATGTCCATGAAACTCATAAAACGAGAACTTAACATTCGATTACATTCAGAATTGGCTCATCTCTATATTTCCATCAACACAAGATCTGTTAGGAAAGTTGGTAGAGATCGGGCCATTTCTTCTGGTACCTCTCCACATAGGGTTTAAGATTTTGAAAAACAAAGCGCTGAAAGAAAGTGAAATAAGCATCCAACTCTCTTCAAATTTCACACACACAAACATTTTTGCAAACACAATATCTGTTATGAAGATTAAAAATATATCTGCGAACCCCTTCTGGTACCTCACCCAAAAAGGATGGAATTTATGATTTCGCATAAAATTTGATATAAATGTTCGATTTTCTTGTAACTTTGCCCATACTAATAATTTTTATCTGATGAGGTATGAAAATGGTATACTTCGGTCGACTATACCTGGTACTCCACCCTCATTTTAACATTTTCTTAAAAATATCAAATTTTTCACATAAAGTGAAGGAGGTAACCAATATAGTCCAAACCTGGCACATTTATATCACATTTATTTAGGTCCGATACGATTTGGACAATATTGGCCCATTCCTCCGGAACCTACTCCAAGAGGGTCAACAATTTGAATAATCATAACAGAAGTCAAAATTTATTTTAATAATAGAACATTGACTGAGGGTATACACCTGCCGATAAAACCGACTGATACTTTTTAACTTGTTTAGCTCTACTTTCACAATTTGCTGGATTTCCTCCAAAATTATCGATTTTTTTCTTGCATAGTGTAGTCTACTTAACGAAAAACTATCGTGATATATGTCTTAATATTCCGCCACCCCGATCTGAGCCAAAGGTTTAAAGTTCACTGCATAACCCCTGAGCATATAAAATTATAAATAAAATTATAAATATAAAATTATATATTTTCTTCTTCCTCTCCATTCTGTTTTCTTCTTTCTTTTCCAACGTTTTTGCGTTTTTTTTTTTTTTTTTTCAATTTAGAGTAATCTTTTGCAGGACCAAATGTTAATTGACAGCTTTAAAGGAAAACTAATTACCAAACGGACCCCAATGATCATTTCATATACAATTCATTCATTTTAATTTTAAATGACACAAACAACAACTACAAGGACCAAAGCAAGGGAATAACACAGGAACCTAAAACTTAAGCTGTAATGGCCAACTGGCAACAAAAACAACAACAACTACTGTCTGATTAAAGGGAAACTATTACAAAACTTGTAAAGTGACAGCCAAAGGAAATGCAGCTAAAAGAAAGCCAAAAACAAACAACAACAACAACAAATATGCTCAGCAACACGAAGCCCGAAGAAGCTGGGGATAGCTAGATGGCTAGCTTTAAGGCAAAGTTAAATGCAGCAAAAAAACTACTACAGCAACAACAGCAACTAACAGGAACAAAAACTTAAACTTAACTTTCAACTCTAAAGGACCACATTAATTTAATTAAACAACAAAAACAAGGACAACAATATATAAATTACAATTTTGTAAATTATCTATTTGAAAAAAAAAAAATAATTTAATAAAAATAAATTGTGCAGGAATGTAACTACAACACTAAGGACCAACAACAAGGATTAACAAATTTGGAAACTACGAGGGATAAAAATTACAAAAAAAAAATTGAAAATAAAAAAAAATAATTTTTAAATTAAAATAAGTGTAAAAAAATATTATAAAAAAAAACAACAAAACAAACATTAAATGCATTTGGTAAAACAGCTTTAATTAGTAAACTAAGTGACCAATCTATAATAGAATTTAAAAACAAAAAAATAAAAATAAATAAAAAATATCTACTATATATAAAATTCTAAAATAAAGAAAATAATACAAAAAAAAAACATCTAATATTAAAAAAATGCTCTTAGCTTTTTAAAAACTCAAAAAAAAAAAAAACAAAAACCAAAACCTAATCTATTTGTCAATTAACTTCAAAAACAAACATCATAAAAATGCCTGTTGCCATTCAACTATAGACTGTAAATAACAATAACTTTTGTCCCATTTTTTTAAATATTGTAACTGAAACCTAAAAAATATATTTATAACAAATTATCCTATTTTCCCACGTTACCCAAGAAAAAAGAGAAAAAAACAAAGAACGCGTTACCTCGCCGGGCATCAATAATCCTTTTTTTTTGTTCTCAAAATACAATAACAAAAGAGCTTCAGGTAATATAAACATATCACCAAAAAAATCACAAAGAACTCAAACATAAAGTGCAATTAACCTCAATCTATAAATAAAAAAGGATACTGGGAGTATCAATGTTCAATTAAATTAAACTAATACACATAAAATCTGTACAAAGTCGGATAAAACCGATTTTATTATTCCCTACGCCACACTATATCAGTATTTATTGTAATTTCAATACAAAAAAAATAAAATTTTTCTAGGATCAAAGCATGGTATGACAATCTATCAAAACAAAAAAAAAAAACAAGCAAAAGAGCTGTAAGTTCGGCCGGGCCGAACTTTGAATACCCTCCACCATTTGGTACAAATTTGGCAATTTTCAAAAATTAAAATCCATTAAATCCTGTTAAAATCTTAAAGATACCGAATGTAGCCGTATATTAGGGTCTATACGACGACGTGGACCCGCCATGCGCAACTTTTGTCATAAGCCTGCACAGCAAAATTTTCTGGCATAGGCTGTAGTATCAATTACGAATTTCTAATGCGAAATTTGAAACAATTCCGGTAAATAATGCCCCTAAAATCATCAAAATACCGAATATCAAGGGGTACCGTTATATGAGGGCTATACGAAGACGTGGACCTGTAGAATCCATTACCAACAACAAATACAAAATTTAAAATAATTCCGGTAAATAATGTTTCTAAAATCATCGGAATACCCAGAATATCGGGAGGTACCGTTATATGGGGCTATAAGAAGACGTGGACCTGCACGGACAATTTTCTGTCACAGGCTGTAGCATCCATTTCGAACTTCAAATGCGAAATTTGAAACAGCTCCAGTAAATAATGTCGCTAGAATCATCAAAATACCGAATATCGGGGGGTACCGTTATATGAGGGCTATACGAAGACGTAGACCTACAAGGCCCATTTTCTGTTTTATGCTGTAGTATCCATTACGAGCTTCGAATACCAAATTTGAAATAATTCCGGTAAATAATGTCGCAAAAATCATCAAAATACCGAATATCGGGAGGTACCGTCAGGTTGGGGCTATACCAAAACGTGGACCTACATCACCCATTTGCAATACCGAAAATCCTGCAGACATAGCATACATTTGAGTAAAATTGTATCAATCTGCTTCAATTCGTTCGGCAGCTAGAGTGATTTCCACAGACGGATAAACGGATATACGGACGGACATTGTTAAATCGACATAGAATTTTATGCTGATCAAGAATATATATACTTTGTGGGGTCTAAAATGTATATTTCGAGGTGTTACAAACGGAATGACAAACCTAATATACCCTCCATATTATGGTGGAGGGTATAAAAAAATAAGTAAATCGAGTCCCCATCTCTAGAAGACATCTGTTTCATTTGAGCACAGGCAAAAATCTTGGCGAAAAATCCATAAATCCATAGAGGGTATAAACTCTTCCATGGAAAGAAGGGTAATATTAAATTTGTCATTCCGTTTGTAACACCTCTAAATATTTGTCAGATATCCTATAAAATTCTAAATCGATTTGACTATGTTCGGTTGTCTGTCTGTCCGTCCGATGAAATTACGATATAGGCTACATTATTTAAAGTATAGTATTGAAATCTAGCGCAACAGTTTTTTATTGCACCTACGATGTTTAGTATTTTCTTAGAGGCCGCATATAAAGGTCCAATTTTTCGCGGAATTTTGTCCAAATTTTGTATACGGAATCGGTAACGGCGGTATATGTTTTCCTATAGTTAAAATATAATGGGCCTCCTGATATTTGGTATTTTTACGATCTATGCCACATTGTTTTTATACCCTACACCTCATAATGGTAAGGGTATTATGTATTTGTGCATTTGTATGTAACATGGAGAAGGAAGCGAGTTAGATCCATAGTTACTTTTGAGGATTTTCATAGAATCACTTTCTGATTCGATTTATGCATGTCAGGCCGTCACTCCGTTTGTCCAGGTATTTTTTTTAACAAAATGCAGGTCGCATTTATTATCCGATTGCCCTAAAGAAATTGGTGATAATCGGATCAGATTTAAATATAGCTCTAATATATATCTTTAACCGATTTCGGGTAAATTGTGCACCAAATGGCCAATATCAGTCCAAATGCCCTGAATTTTGGTATATCCGACCGAATACAGTCTAGAAGCAAGTACACCAAATTTGGTATAGGCCCCTAATCACAAATACTTCCCTACAAGCATTTCATTTATGAATTATGTTTTCGGGAAAACTTATTTTAAATGTATCCTGTACAAAGTTGACTTCTGCTTTGATCTTCTGCCCACAAAAAATCTCTTAAGGACTTTTTATATTTAAAAGGCCTTCTAAGAGTCTTGTTGTTCACAAGACCTGTTTCAAATTGCTAAAAATGCATTTTAATTATAAAAGACCTGATAAATATCTCCAAGCATGGAAGACATACTTAAGGAATCCCATCTCTAAAACAAGCATTTTATAGTTATTTACCTTGAAGAATATCTATTAAAAGTTTCTCCGGCTATGGAAGAAAGGTCTCCGATCTTTAAAAAATACGCAAGAAGTATATTGATATATTATGATATATTCTACATATAGAAGGCCTCCCACCTTACACCTAAAGGTCTTCTATTAAAAGGAGGCCAGCTATAGATCTTCTCTTAAAGGACGGCCTCTTAGATTTTTTTGTCTAGTTTAGGGGTTTCCAGTTACAAAGATCTTAGTTTTATAAAAAGCCTGCCAAAGGTATCCACTATAGAGGACCTGGCGAAGGTCTTCTCTTTAACTTCAAAGACCTTCTATACATCGAATACTTTTCAAAAACCTGTCTCGATAGAATACATTTCAAAGGTCCTTTTTTCAATAGAAAACATTTCAAAAGGGTTTTCTCCTTATGAGACTCCTCAATTCAGCCTCAATTTTCAGCCTCATTAGAACCCAATCTCTCGATGGAAGGCTTTCTCTCCTCTATAGAATATTTATCAAAAAATGTTTGTTTGTTGTATTATGTCAGCAGGACTTTTGGGTGATGTAGGTCCACGTTTTGACGATTCAATACTCACCGAAATTGTTTGAGATGTCGTATTTGAAGTTCGTAATGAATTCTGCAGCCTAAGACAGAAGATTGTCTGTGCAGGTCCACGTCTTCGTATAGACCCCATATAACGGTACCTCCCTATTCTCGATATTTTGACGATTTAGGTACTATACTCACCGAAATTGTTTTAGATGTCGTATTTAAAATTCGTAATGGATACTACAGCCTATGACAGAAAACTGTACATGCAGGTCCACGTTTTGCTGTAGCCCCATATAATATTACCTCCCTATATTCGGTATTTTGATGATGCAGGTCCACGTCGTCCTATAGAACTTAATATAACGGCTACATTCGGAATTTTTATGATTTCAACAGAATTTTTAACGGATTTTTTTTTTTTTGAAAATTGCCAAATTCGTTCCATGTGGTGGAGGGTATTCAAAGTTCGGCCGGCCGAACTTATATCTTTTTAACTTGTTTTACTATAACATGTTTTTAATTAACCTCAAATAGCAGAGAAACCAAATTATTGCGGTTCTAATTTGGAGTAGGAGGACTATAAATCACTTGCCTTAGGCGTTCCGTAAATTGTTATTGTATTACATTCAAAAGTTATTCAACTGCGGTTTCATTCTAATGAAAGGTCCATTGCTTTAAAAACATACATTTTTATAAGCAGATTTTATCCTTTTCGTGAAATACCGAGTAAAGTGTGGTGTAGGGTATAAAAACATTCAACAAAAAAATAATGAAAATCCCCTTAAAATTAAATAACAAATACAACTTTTTCAAATAAACTAATTAACAAACAAAACCAAACAATTTAACCAGAAACTCACCTAAATGTGTAAATGTCTATCTCTGTCTACTTTTTTTTAACTATTTGTCGTTAACTCTTCAGAACAACTTAAGCCAACCACAAAACTTAACAACAAACCGAATACCACAAAAGGATATCCCAAGTAGCTACAATTGAACAATTTCCGAAACAAGCACAACTTGCACAAAAAAAAGCACAGCAAACACGAAACTAATTCCCTGCTCAACTCACCCTCCCCTCTAGCAAATGTGTAGAGCACCTGTTATCACTCACAATTGCATTTAAGTGTCTAGTTTTGTTTTATGTTTAAATTTTGAATAATTGTTTCAATTTTATTTCTCTCCCCCTCCCCTTTCCTTTGCCGTTTTGTAAATCCCTGCTTTGTTTTCAGTTTTCTTTGATTTTTGTTTCGCTTTTTTTTTCTCTTCTCTTATTGCCAATCTCATATTACGCTCTATGTTGAAATTGAACAATTATTTAAATCTCCTTAACGCGGGCCTCTTCGAGTTGTACAACGCCACCATGTCGCTGCGACGTGCCAATGTCGTGGAGGTGATGGACTCCACCTCCAATGAGGATGCTGCCAACGACGACAGTGCCGTGGAATCGGGATCGTCTTCTGTCAATTCGATGGCAACGGAAATCAATTTAACCGCTGTAACAGGCGTCAGCCTAACCCCTACCCTAGCGCCCAATGGCATTATCAATAATAAATATACGCAAATATCGAAGTGGTACATTGTAAGTTTTCAATTTTGTTTCCCCTGTTTTTATTCCTCTGATTTCGTTTTTCCAATTCAATTTGTTTGGCCTTTTTAATATTTCCTACATATTTTTTGAATATTTCATTTGAATTTATTGAGCATGCTAAGTTTCTTTGATCCATGTTGTTAATGTTTTTCTTAGGTGGGGGAAAGAGGAGTTTTTCTGAAAATTTAAAATTGTGGGAAGAAAATAACGGAGGAGATTTTACATGTTTTCCATATTCATATTTTAAAAGTTTTCCATGTATTTAACAGAAAAAGGTCCTTAGCAGGCATTTCATGGATGGGCGGTTTTAAATGGATCCTCTACACATGGACAACTTGGAAGCCTATTGATGAAAGATCTTCAAAATATCTTCCATAAGCTCTTCTAAACTAGCCTTTGAATGGGAAAGAGACTTTTGCATAGGGAAAAGGCTTCACGAGGACCTTTGAGCGGAAAATGACTTCACGGGAAAAATATTTCCTCGCGGACAAAATATTTTCAAGGTCTTTATTTTACAGCAAGATAACTTTTTCAAGGTCTTCGGCAGGGAGCAGACCTTCTCTAGAACTTGGGAGAAGGTCTTTTTTATTTATTCTCTACGAAGAAGTCCTTTTAAAGATCTTCTAAAAGGATAAGGTCTTCTAAATACATTCTCGAAGTCTTCTGTGTAGGGAAGAGCTTCTTTTCGTTCTTTCATTCGAAGAAAACCTCTTTTCTTTTATCCGTGCAAAATTATAAGCTCTTCCATGCACTGAACACCATTTAAGGGCTTTCTATACAAAAATTACCATTTTAAGGAGCTCCTTATTGAGGAGAAATTCCAAATAGGCAAGAGCACATTCTAAAATAGGGAAGACCTACAAAAAGTCTTCCATAGAAGGAATACTATCTAAAAACCGTCTGTACGAAGAGGACCTTCTATAGGTTGTATGTACTAAGAACACTCTCTTTAGGTCTTTTACAGAGAGAACACATACATTTCTTAATCTAAGAAAAAAGGCCTGCACCAGGTCTTCGATTCAGAGGATACCTTTTTGAGGTTCTCCAGACAGTAAGGATTTTCGACAAGTCTTTAGTACAGAAAATATCATCAACGGGTATTCTGTGCAGAAAAGACCTTCCACAAGATCTTCTGACCAGAAAAGATCTTCAAAGGTCTTCCGTTCTGATAAAAATTTCTTAAGCACTTAATTACAGAGGAGACCTACAAATGGTGATTTGCACAGAGAAAAAATGCTACAGGTATTCCCTAAAGAGAAAGCCTGGCACAGGTCGCCAATGCAGAGGAGATCGGACACAGACCTTTAATGCAGAAAAGACCTAAAACTAGTCTTCTGATAAGGGTCTAATACAGGTCCTCTTGCGGAGAAGACCTGGCTGACATCTTCTATACAGAGTAGACTTGATATAGGTAGTCTTTAGAGAGAATACCTAATATATGTCCTCTATAGAGAGAAGAGGTGATACAGGACTTTTGTAGAGCGAACACCTGATACACGTCTTCTATTAGAGGGGACCTCTATACAGAGAAGAGTCGACATAGATTTTCTAACCGGAGAGGACTTGATATAGGTCTCCTATAGGAAGAGGACATAATGAAGGGAAGACCTGTTACAGGTCTTCTTATATGGAAAAGACCTGATATAGGTCTTCTTATACATAAAAGACCTGATACAGGTCCTCTATACGGAGAAGATCTGATACAGATCTTTATATACTGAGAAGACCAGATACAGGTCTTCTAGACAGAGAAGGCCTGATACAGGTCTTCCAGACGGAGAAGACCTGATACAGGTCTTCCAGACGGAGAAGACCTGATACAGGTCTTCCAGACGGAGAAGACCTAATACAGGTCCTCCAGACGGAGAAGACCTTATACAGGTCTTCTAGACGGAGAAGACCAGATACAGGTCTTCTAGACGGAGAAGACCTGATACAGGTCTTCCAGACGGAGAAGACCTGATACAGGTCTTCCAGACGGAGAAGACCTAATACAGATCTTCCAGACGGAGAAGACCTGATACAGATCTTCCAAACGGAGAAGACCTAATACAGATCTTCCAGACGGAGAAGACCTGATACAGATCTTCCAGACGGAGAAGACCTGATACAGATCTTCCAGACGGAGAAGACCTGATACAGGTCTTCTAGACGGAGAAGACCTGATACAGGTCTTCTAGACGGAGAAGACCTGATACAGGTCTTCTAGACGGAGAAGACCTGATACTGGTCTTCTAGACGGAGAAGACCTGATACAGGTCTTCTAGACGGAGAAGACCTTATACAGGTCTTCTAGACGGAGAGGACCTGATACAGGTCTTCTAGACGGAGAGGACCTGATACAGGTCCTCTATACGGAGAAGATCTGATACAGGTCTTCCTAAACGGAGAAGACCTGATACAGGTCTTCCTATCCGGAGAAGACCTGATACAGGCTTTCCTATCCGGAGAAGACCTGAGACAGGTCTTCCAATACGGAGAAGACCTGAGACAGGTCTTCCAATACGGAGAAGACCTGAGACAGGTCTTCCAATACGGAGAAGACCTGAGACAGGTCTTCCAATACGGAGAAGACCTGAGGCAGGTCTTCCTATACGGAGAAGACCTGATACAGGTCTTCCTATACGGAGAAGACCTAATACAGGTCCTCTATACAGGAAAGACGTGATACAGGTCTTCTATACGGCAAAGACCTGTTACAGGTCTTCTAGACGGAAACAGGTCCTTTATGAGTAGAAGACCGGACTGAGATCTTCGATACAGAAAAGTCCTTAAATAGGGCTTTCATAAAAAGAAACCCTTCAACAGGTCTTCTAAATAGAGATGATCTGATACAAGGCTTCTATATAGAGAAAACCTGATACTGGTCTTTTGTTCATGGAAAGTCTTCTATTTAGAGACGATCTGAAACCGGTTTTCTATTCGGAGAAGATCAGAATCAAGTCTTCTATTCATAGGATGTCTTCTGTACAGAGAAACACTTTTACTCGTGTTCTGTTCATAGAAGACCTCTTAAATGTCTTTATTTGGAAAAGATCTGAAACTGATCTTCTATTTAGAGAAGATCTGACGCCGGTCTTCTATTTGGAGAAGATGTGAAACCAGTCTTCAATTCAGGGTAGACCTGACCCAGGCCTTCTATACTTTGAACATGTCTTCTATTCAGAGAAGATCTGAAGCTAGTCTTCTATTCAGATAAGGACTGAATAAGATATTTTATAAAAATATGACCTGGACCAGGGCTTCTGTATAGAGTATACCCGTTTCCGGAAATGTAATTCTGAACAATTTTATTTGAATAATTCGAAATTTAAATGGAATAATTGGAATTAGAAAAGTTCGAATTGCACATAAAATAATTCAAACATCAATTAATATTCAATGAATTTCAAAATAAATTATTGTTTCAATTGTAATGTTTCGAAATATAAATTGAATTCTCAAATCACAGATATAACATTACGAATTACAACAAAAAATTTTCGAATTACATCTGAAGAAGTATATATGTGGTGTACCTTCTAGAGGTCCTTTTACATGCCTTATCCTATACATTTAAGAACATATACCTAAAATATCTTTGATTCGATTTTCGTTGGAATTTCGATACACACATAAGAATTTGGTATGGAAAACCACCTCAGGAAACCTTTAACCACTTCCATTTCGGCTGTCTTTTTTCATGCCGGCTGAGATTTTGTTTCCTGTTTGTGAATATTTTATTTAAAAATATATTTCTGCTTAAAATCTATCACAGGTATGCCAGAGCTGTTTATTTGTTAAATAAAATAAATAAAACATAAATACCACTTAACACACCCTGGCAGCCGGCACACATACACCCCCACCCATTCTGCATTCGAATAAAAAGTTTGTTTTCTTTCTTTCGAAAGAGAAGTGTTACCTGGTTTATTTGCTTCGGCATAAGAAGCGTGTTATTCTCAGAAGCCTTTGGGTCTTTATTTGGCATTTGCAAAGCGTAAAAGAGTAGAAAATGCGTTAAGAGTTGTTTGTTAAGTGTTCCATTGCGTATTCAGGACGATTGCTACTGCATGTTTGTGCGACTGTTCGTCTGTGTGTTCGTTTGTTTGTTTTTTATCCGTTTCACGTTTTTGTTCCTTCGCCTTATTCCTTTCCGGCATAATTGGATTCACATTTCTAGTCATTTGCAGTGAACTTTTTTTTTTGAGCTCTTGCCTTAGAGAGCGCGAGTGCGTAGCATTTTGTTACAATCACCTGGAGTCTTGTTCCGAAGGCGCCAATGCTAATAAGATGGCAGTGCCTTACTGACAAGAACACCGCCACCAGCCAGCATAAGAGCTAGTAAAGATTTTCTGCTATTGCTTTTAGCTATTTTTATGCTTATCTGGGGCTTATTATTCTCAGTTGTTTAGTCCTTTTTGCATTGGGGGCGCTTCAGTTTCATTCGTGCGTATTGAGGCATTCTAAACGAGGGGATGGGGCTATCACATATCGGTAGCTGTTTAACTGTAACCCAATTGATGTCTATTTTTTTATAATTCTCCCTCTGTTTTCCTTCATATTTGTTCTTTTTTCTTCTTCTTCTGCTTTGCTTCTTTGTTTATTTATTGTCTGTTATTTATTTGTTCTAGTACTGCTGCTCTTGTTTTTTTCTCTCCTCTCTCGTTTGTTTTGTGCACTCTTGAGTTGTTTATTTATTTTTCAAATTTGCCCCCAGGGTCTGTATTATCCTCGTAAGCAACTACCAGCCTCTTCAAGGTGTCCCAGTTGCTGAAGCGTTCAAGTGTTTCAGAAGTGTCAAAAACAAACAACAACAAATCACAGAATTAGAAAAAAAGGGTTTGTGAAATTTCTTTTGTATGTTTTGTATTTTTTATTTATTGCCTTGAATTGAAAGAAATACAAATGCATTCCTCAAGAGATTCGAGGTTTTATTGAGAATATATATCGATTTTTTCAGATCAATGATATCTCTTGAGAACCATTGCCAATTATATTGTGGGTCATGA